TAAGAAATGTACGCATTATCCTGCCCATGTAATTGTAACCCCTCTGTACAGTATGTTCACAAATAAAATTAAATTAAATTAAAAAAAAAAGAAAAGGAGCAGAGACAGAAAAAGGATTCTATTTCCCTTTCATTTATGCATATGAGTAGATCTTGTATATTGAGTATGCAGTTGGAACTCAATGGTCAAATGCATGGTTGGTCCTTTTTCTCTCTGACTTGGACATAGGGTAGCTTTAGTACACCTGCTCAGTGAGGTAGAAACAGCATCTCCCATGCACAAGTTTACACGTCAGGAGCCAAAGGCAGTATGGGATACACTCAGGGCAGACTCTTCATCTTCTGGAAGTTCCCAGGTGGTGGATAACACATGTTGCAGAGGGACAAGGGCTAAGTGTGGAGGGAGCAAGACAGGAAGTGAGGTTGGACTTTGCAAAAAGGATCTAGGAGCACATTTGGGCAGGCCTGCAGCCACATTCCTTCGCACTGCCTGAGTGGAGAGTCTTGGCCAAGGTCAAATTCGGCCTTGGCCAACTTGTTTGGTCCACTGGCAGGAGGAGAGATCCTTGTCTTGTTTGCGTAGGTGAGCTGTATGGTCATCTCTATAACACATATAATATGTGATGTATTACATATACATAGTATATAGCATAATATATCACGTATTATATTGTATATGGTGTATTAAATATTATTTTTATAAAGGTTGCATATAATATAATGTACATAATATATGACATACTATACATTGCATATTCTATATTATTATGTCATATAATACATCATTTAAAATATATATTATTTAATTATTTAGGCATGATTTAAATATTACATAAATATTCAAGTATTAAATTATTTAATGTATTTGACATATCTTTAAAAATATAACATAATACAAAGAACATGTTATTTAGTATATATGATGCATAATACATAATATGTAACATATTACCCATGATATATATCATATACAGTACATAACAATAAATAATATAATAATACAAATGATGTATACAATATATTATCTATATCTAAATAGTTATTTATACTTATATTTGCATTTATATTTATTTATATTTATGTCTCTCCTTCTCTGGGCTTACTTCACTATGTCCAGTCACGTGTTCATTCAGAAGCAGGTGCTTTACTGTACATTTTCTGTGTATTAGCTTCTTTTCTAGTGGAGTAAGTAAGTTCTTGAGGCCTGGAAAGCACACATGAGCTGGAAGTTCAGGGCCATCTGGCTGCTTTGCATGGTTTCTGAGCCAACAGAATTATGAATCCTTCACCACACCAGGGTGGACCCTGTTTTTCTGCCCACGTGGGCCCTCTGGGAGCCTCTGGCTGGTAGTGACCTGGTCACTGTGGCTGGTGGTGACCTTCTTGCTCCTCATGCAGGTGGTGACCATGCCTGAATATCTGCGGAAGCGGTTTGGAGGCAAGAGGATCCAGATCTACCTTTCTGTTCTGTCTCTGTTGCTCTACATTTTCACCAAGATTTCCGTGAGTATGCCGGCGTGGGGGCTGGGACTGTCTGCTTCGGAAGCTGCCCACTCTCATTGGCTAGCAAGCAGGGCCACCTTACCCACAGGCAGCTCTATTGTTCCCATGAACTCCGTTTGTAAACCTTCTTGTTCCTGGGGCCAAAGATCAATTTCATGCATCAAGGAGCCAGTGGCCTTCAGTGGAACTGTTTGTTCACCTCTGTCATCTGGGATAAAACCATAACAGGCTTATGCAAGTTCATTTAGAGCTGTTATTAATACAAGATTAAGAGGCAATTAGGCTGGTAGCTCATGCCTTAGAATTCTAGGTACTCAGGAGGCTGAGATCTGAGGATCACAGTGGCAGACAAATCCAAGAGACTCTTCTCTCCAATTAACCAGCAAAAAGCCAGAAGTGGAAAATGTGGCTCAAGTGGTAGAGTGCCGGCCTTGAGTGCAAAAAACCAAGCAAGAGCACAAAGTTCTGAGTTCAAGCATATGTTAATTAGCTCAACTGGTCCTTCAATAATGTACATACAAACATACATACATATATTACTTTTTTTGAGGGGGCTTGAACTCAAGGCCTTACACTTTCTGGGCAAGTGCTCTATCACTTGAGCTGCACCTCCAGTCTGACTTTTTGCTAGATAATTTGGAGATGGAGGCTAGCAAACTTTTTTGTCCAGTCTGGTTTTGAACTAAGATCCTTAGATCTCATGCTCCTGAGTAGCTATGGTTACAGTTGTGAGCCCTTGATGCCCAGCTCACAATATATCCCTGTTTTAAAACATTGTGTTATATATGACATATATATATATAATTGACATATATATATATATATGTCAATTAAAAAGAATAAAGAGATTAAGGATATCTATGGGCCGACCTCAATCCTAAGATAGTCTGTGTTCTGATTCCAACCAGTGCCAACTCTGCAAGGAACTGCTGGACTCATTTGCTTGTTTATTTGTTTAATATTAATTTATGTTTTGTTCTTTTTTTAATTTATATTTTCTTTGAGAGAGGTAGGTCTCTTAGTTCATTTTTTCATGTGCTTATTGGTCATTAAAATTAAATTACATCTTTATTATCTTTAAGTAGTTATACAAAGGAGTTACCACTCAACAAATTGGTTTATGAGTACAATGCATCTTGATTGATGTCTCCTCTCTCAATCTCCCCATCCCTCCTAACCCAAGGCCTCCCCTTTATTTTCTTAATTTCATAGGCTATGCATTGAATTTTTATGACTACATTCTCCAATCCCCTTCCTCTCGTCATTCATCTATCCTCCCCCTGCCCCCACCTTCCACCTTTCAAGCACTAGTTTCTTGGTATTTATTTTTACAATTTATTTGTTATTATTAAGGTGTTTGCAGGGGAGTTATAAATCAGGTAATAGGTACAATTTTTTTGGACAATGTCACCTCTTCCCTGGTATTCATTTTGTTGGACTGTGACTTAGTCTTTCTAATGAATTACACCATTTGAATTGTCCTGTGTAAATACCATATTTTGCTCAATACACTGATATACATTTGCATACAACCCCCTTGTGTTTATTTGTGCATTTATAAATTGGTTATAGCTTTCACAAATGAGAGAAAACATGCATCCTTTGTCTTTCTGGCTTATTTCCCCTAACATAATTTTTTTCAAGTCCATCCATTTCTTTGCAAATGATGTAATATCATTCTTCTTAATGGAAGAATTGTGCCTATATACCATACTTTCACCATCCATTTGTCCACTGAGGGTCACCTGGGCTGTTTCCATGCCTTGGCTTTGGTGAATAGTGCAGCAATGAACATGGTTGTGCGGTGGCTTTATTGTATCCTGATTTGTAATCTTTTGGGGGAATTCAATGTCTTAGTCCATTTTTTTGTTGCACTTGAAAGGATCCGTCACATCCATCCCAGGGGACCAAGCAGAGGCAGGCAGGCACAGGAGAAAGATTATTACAAGGTTTATTTGCACATGGCATCCTCCACTATCTAGGTAGCAGCAGGGTCTGAGGGGTAGGAAGTGAGGTAGATGGGAGTTCAGGTGGGTCTGGCAGAGAGAGGCAGGGGCCAGCTGTGTGGCGGGAACTCCAAGGCAGGGAGGAGCTCAGGCCTGGGTGGAGCTGAGGACCAAAGGTGGGCATAATGCTTACAGCACTGAGGCTCAAAGTGGTAAAGCACTATCCTTGAGCAAAAAAGCTCAGGGACAGCACTCAGGCCCTGAGTTCAAACCCCATGACAGACAAAAAAAAAAATCAAGTCATGGCTTCATAAAAGAAGGAAAGGCATTGATCTAAGAAGAGAACATAGAATGTAATTAGGAAGGTGGGGAGTCATACGAGAAGGAAAGGTAGGCAGGTGAGGGAGCTGTACCTCCATTAGGCTTATATTTAATGAGCCTATAGAGAAAGGCGCTGGGCTTTCCTTATTCAGAGGCAAGCACTCTCCAAGTCCACAGTTCAAGCTGGAGAGAGTCTGTTGATTACAGTTGTCAAGGAAAGGGCAGTCTCTTCTCTTGGAGCTGGTATAGGGGTAGTCATATAATTAAACTAGTGCCCGACTTCTCTTCCTGACTTCTCTATCACCTCGCCTAGTTTTCAGGTTACTGATTAAACTGCCCTGGACTTGAGAGTTTCTAGGTAGCTGAGGGGCAGTTTCTTTAGGCTTAGATTCGGATTCATTCTCCAGAAGTCTCAGCTTTTCTTTTCTTTTTTTCTTCTTCTGGATTTTGGATTTGAATTGTACATGGTTTCTGGGTTCTTCACTAGGGATTCTGACCAACATCCTACCGCATGTGAAACTGAATCACAGATTAGTACCGTCTGTTTGCATGTGTACACATATATGTCCACATTTATGCACACTCAAACATGACTGTGTGTACATATGAATGTTTTTAAACATCAAAAGATACTCTTGCTGTTATCATTTTATCTACTTTTTTTTTTGGCTGTAACCTTGAGAAAAAAAATCTTAAAGACAGCGCCCAGGCCCTGAGTTCAAGCTCCAAGACTGGCACACACACAAAAGAAAGGACTATGTCTGGGCTGGGAAGGTGGCTCAGTGGTAGAGCGCTTGCCTTGCATGCTCGAGGCCCTGGGTTCGATTCCTCAGCACCATATAAGCAAACAGAAAAAAGCCGGAAGTGGCGCTGTGGCTCAAGTGGTAGAGCGCTAGCCTTGGGTTGAGGGCTGAGGGACAGCGCCCAGGCCCAGAGTTCAGGCCCCACGACCGGACCCAAAAAAAAGAAAAAAGAAAGGACTATGTCTACAAAAATCACTATACTCAGGGAAATCTGAAGTATAACCTTCATTGATTTATGTATGCTCTTCATTGATCTTCTCCTTCTGCTTTCTTTCTATTTGAACTTAGAGCCTGGTTGCTGTTCCTGAGATTTTTTTTTTTCTCCTCAAAGCTAACACCTGACTGGTTGAGCCACAGTTTCATTCCTAGCTTTTTTTTGATGGTTAATTAGAGATAGGAGTCACATATACTTTTCTGCCTGGATTGGCTTTACACTGTGATCCTTAGATCTCAGCCTCCTGAGTAGCTAGGATGACAGGCTTGAGTCACTGGCACTCAGCACTGTCTTCCAAGTCTTACATTCTCCAAACACTGAGCTGGTTAAATTCAAGACCCTGGGAAAAATGAGAGCTGGTTAACTGAACCTCACATTATAAGTGAATTCCCCAAATAAGGAACGGGAAGGATCTAGGAAGGACCTGAAGAGGAACATTGGTGCCAAAGGGCAAGGCTTTATCCTTGTAAATTCCATTGGCTTACTATGAGTCATGGAGCATGGAAGTTGAAAAGGAATTACACTGAATTAGCTGAGTCTGCGAGGAGCCTAGAATACAGAGATAAGGACTCATGGATTAAAGAGAAAAAAAAACCCTGTTAGTTAATAAAGTATAGTGGTAAAGTATTTCTACCACACAAAGATGAACGTGTGTGTGTGTGTGTGTGTGTGTGTGTGTGTGTGTGGTTTGTGATATGTGAGAAGAGGAAACACCATTCAGATCCACCTCAGGAGTTTTGGCAGAATGTAAGGATCCATCAGGTATATAATTGGTGGGGGACAGAAAGCAAAGGGAAAAATGGAATCATGTAACATGAGGGTAGGGATAGGGTGTGGAAAGATGGGGAAGAACCATAGAAGAGGTAGCATGGATCAAGACGTGTTGTTCTCATAGATCTAACCCGTTGAGCAATTCCTGTGGACAACTACTTACAAACAAAACTCAAACCCAAACCAGAGGCCAAAAGAAAGCCAAAGGCTGCTATCTTGTGGCCTTGTTCTTTTGTGTTCTGAGATCCAGTGCACTTTATAAACTCCTGGATTTTATTGACCCTTGTGAGTTCCTACCTTTATCAAGTTCTGAGAAGCGTTCTGAGCGGCAAGATTTCCGCACACAGTGTATCTTATCCAAATATGCATAATCACTTGAGATAAAGCCTCCAATTTTATGCTTTGCACGTGACAGCTAAATGTCTCTGTTCCTATTTCCCCTGGGCGATTATCAGAGATCATGAGGGCAATAAACTTTTATGGCAATTCTACCATGTATTTGGAAGCCTTAGGTCATGATCAAAAGCTTTGGCTTTTGATGAAGGTTCAGATATTAAATTGCTGGTGCTGTTCACTTTCACAAATGGAAAGAGATATGGTAGTGATGAGGCTTGGAAACCTCATTGCCTCAGGCAGGATTTATTGAAAGGCTCAGCTACATGTTGGTTAGCACAAAAACAGGTAGAGAACACACACACACACACACACACACACACAGAAAATCACAGCATCTTAACGTATCTGAATGGAGGCACAACAATCTGCCTAGAGGCTCTGCTTTCAGAGGTTTTCCAGCTGAGGCCTGAATTTTTAAACTGGGCGTGGGGAAAGGGGAGACATATACTTTTCTTTAAGAGTGCCCTGTATGTTGCTCATCCACACTCGCAAAGTAATGGGAGCCATGCCTTTGGGCAAAATCCAACCTTACTATCTGCTGTGTCAATAAAGTTTTATTGGAACACAGCGAGGTCCATTTGTTTACTTTATCAGCGGTTGCTTTTCTGTTGCCAGGGGCTATTTGTCAGAGATGTAGTTCATGAAGTCAAAAACATTCACTACCTGACTTTGTATAGAAAAAGTTTGCCAAAAGTATGTTTTCTGGTTTCAAGGAACATACTTTAAACATTTCATTTTAGGGTGGTTTTGCTTAGCAGCCTTGGACAAATTTCCTTCCCCTCTTCTTCTCTTTCCTCTCCTCTCCTTCCTGCCCTTCATCTTCTCTTCCTACATCTTTCTTCTCCTTTCCTTCTCTCTCTTTCCTTCCTCTTCTTCCATCTCCTTCCTTCCCCTCTCCTTTCCTTTCCTCTCTTCTCTTTCCCTCTCTTCCCTTCCTTTCCAAACCTCCTACCCCTTTTCTTCTTTTCCCTCCCATTCCTTTCCTTCCTATTTTTATTTCTTCATTTCCTCTATTTCATCCTTCCTTCCCTTCCTCCCTCCCTCGCTCTCTGTCTTCCTCAAGGCTAGTGCTCTATCACGTGAGCCATAGCTCCACTTTTGTTTGGCTCTTTGCTGGTTAATTGGAGATCGAGTCTCATGGACTTACCTGCCTGGTTGCCATTGAACTTCATCTCAGATGCCAGCTTTCTGAGGAGACAGATTACCGGTGTGAGCCACCAGCACGCATTTCCCCTCCCCCCGCAGCCATATAAAAAGCCATAATCATAAATAGGGTCCCTATCCTCATAATGGGCTTTTATTCTCCAAATACCATCAACAATATGGATTTGGGGACTGAGGTTCTAATGCATGAACTTTTGGGGGTATACACTGAAACCATCCAGGAAGGAGGGGAAGGTCTGGGGGCCGGGGGCTAAGTGACTGGAGAGCTCTGGAGAGTTGGAGTGGGGCTGAGGAGGAGGAAGGATGGAGAATAGAAAGGAGCTGTAACAGAGCTGAGTTAAAAAAATCTAGGGCTTTGAGCCCTTTGCATGCCTTGAAACGTATTAGATTTTGTGTAACATAAAACCTCATACATCTCATTCAGGGAAAGTCTAGTTTCTCCTTCAGCTGAAGTCGTGAAAAGATTCACCATGATGATCTTTGAATCCTACTCTTATGATAGTGTGGTTATTTTGGAGAGAACATGAACATTGATTTTGGGAGACCTTAGCGCCCTCTGCTGGTTAGTATTAGCAGCTGCACCATCCTGTCAAGTCGAAGATTCAATATGGGACTGGGAGAGAGAGAAGGTGAAAAGGATCGCATTGAGAACATAATCAATGGGTTCAGAAGCAAAGAGGGAACAAGTCCCCTGAGAAGAGAGATAATTTAGATAGAACCAGTTCTGAAGAAAGCCTACCATGTCAGAGGGATTTGGTGATGTTCTGGGTGTGTTTGGTTTGTGGGTTGGGAAGATAAAAATTTTAATCGTGCTGAAGTTTCTCTCCACTGTTGGAGTGATGGTTATGGTGTTGAGTTTCCCACTCATCGGCTCAAAAGAATTGAGACTTGCTTTTGGGAATAGATCTGATAAGCCATGTTCACCAAACCAAGGTGTTAAAAACTACCCATAGCCAGGTGCCAGTGGCTCACACCTGTAATCCTAGCTACTCAGGAGACTGAGATCTGAGGATTGCATTTCAAAGCCAACTGGGGCAGGAACATCCATGAGACTCTTATCTCCAGTTAACCACCAGAAAACTGCAAGTGGCATTGTGGCTCTAGTGGTAGAGCACTCTCCTTGAGTTGAAGAGCTGAGGGACAGTGCCCAGGCCCAGAGTTCAAGCCTCAGACCGAAAACAAAAACAAACAATCCCCCCAAAAAACAGCAAAAAACCATCCACAGTGTCTGGGCACCATGTCTCATGCCTGTAATCATAACTACTTAGGAGGCTGAGATCTGAAGATAGAGGCTCGAGGCCAGTCAGGCCAGGGAAGTCTGTGAGACTCTTATCTCTAATTAATCACCAAAAAGCTGTAAGTAGAGATGTGGCTCAAATGGTAGAGTGCTAGCCTTAAGCACAAAGGCTTAGAGACAGCACCCAGGCCCTGAGTTCAAGCCCCAGGACCAGCACACAGACATGGACACAGACACAAACACACAACCCCAAACCAGAAACAATAATAAACCCCACCCATCATGGGTGATTATGAGCAGCAGTCTATAGGTGGAGATAAGGTATTGATTGTTGTTCCTTAGCAAAAAAGCCTTTTTGAACTTTTTTTGTGCTAGTACTGATGCCTGAACTCAGGGCCTTACATTCTTCTTTAGTTTTTGTTTTGTTTTGTTTTTTTTTCCTCTCCAGGCTGGTGCACTATCACTTGAGCCACACCTCCACTTCTGGATTTTTGCTAGTTAGTTGGGGTTAGGACTCTTTGATTCCAACCTTGAGCCTCAGATCTTAGCCTCCTGAGTAGCTAAGATTATAGGCATGAGCCATCTGGTGCACAGCAAAAAAAGACCTTCATAGTTAATTAAGTTTAAAAGCATCCTGTACTATCTTACCTTTCTAGAGATTTGCAGTCTGTGGTCTATCCTAAAGGATCAGAGAAGTTGTATAGCAAAGAATCTGGCTTACATTTATTAAATCACAGATCTTTTTGGCCATGGAATATTTTCCCTCATGAAGACCCAGTCATCACCTTCAATCACACTTGCTCAGGAGCTCATTGGCCTGTCTCTCCCCTAACTCTGCCTCTTTTCTCCTTCTAGGCAGATATCTTCTCTGGGGCTATATTCATCAATATGGCCTTGGGTCTGAATATCTACTTGGCCATAATTATCTTATTAGCAATCACTGCCCTTTACACAATTACAGGTAAGTCCATTCAAATGAATCAGCAGTTCAAGCCCAGGTACTTGTGAAGGATAAATGGAACTTAAGGAACATGGTGGCTTGCCTTGAGGAAGACAGATGAGGGATCTTTTAAAGACATGTTACTCTGCCTGGGTTAGGAGAGGCAGGATCAGCAATGGAACTTCCTGCTCAATTAGAGCCTCATATATTTGAGGGCAAGAAGTTAATAAGATGGTTCTAGGAAAGAGGGAGTGGCAAATTTGTTAATGTCCTCAGGAATCTTCACAGTCAGCCTTTTGCTCTTCCCCTGTCTTCATTTGGCAATGTATCCTCCTACTACAGAGGACCTGTCTCCTTTGAACCATCTCCTGGCATAAGAAAGTGTTGCAGAAGAGCTGGGCATCAGTGGCTCATCTCTATAATCCTAGTGACTCAGGAGGCTGAGATCTGAGTTCAAAGCCAGCCAGGGAAGAAAAGTCTATGAAGACTCTTTATCTCCAAAGAGCCACCCAGAAGCCAGAACTGGGGTGTGTGTGACTCAAGTGGTAGAAGACCAGCCTGGAGTAGAAAAGCCACATGAGAGAGAGTAAGGCCCTGAGTTCAAGCTTCAGCACTGACATTAAAAAAAAAGCTAGATGTCCTGAGCAGCAAGCATTGTAACAGGGATGGGGTGGGTGGGTAGAGGGGTGAGTGATGTATGTGTGGGTTGGTTCTCAGGAGGTGTGCAAGAGATACAGGGTGGAGTGGGGGTGGGAAGAGGAGGCAGGCATGGCTCAGCTTCTGCATGAAGTCATCTCTGTTGTCTTGTTTCCTGCTCAGGGGGCCTGGCGGCTGTTATTTACACAGACACTTTGCAGACAGCCATCATGCTTGTGGGCTCTTTCATTCTGACTGGATTTGGTAAGTAGGGCTAGGGCAGGGTGAGGGCAAGTAGCAGATACTTGGGATCCTAGGAAGAGAAAAGCCAATTTAATCTCTTTGGCTGCCACAGGCGCAGGCAGTGAACGCTATGTTCTCTGCTTCTCCAAGGGCAGTGGGGCAGCCCAGATTTGGCGGCCATGGTGGTGGGTGTGGGAAGCTTCCTCATCCTGGGAGGACTCAGGTTGGGATAGGTGTAGGGAATACCTTGATTCCCTGCTGTTCTCTATAGCTTGGGTCAGCAGGCCCAGCCAGGCTAGTCTGTGATAACCTGATTTCTGTCTGCAGAAATGAGGCCAAAAAGGAGCTAGCTACTCAGAATGCTGAGATCTGAGGATCATGGTAGCAAAGTCTGAGACTCTTATCTCCAAATTAACCAACAGAAAACCAGAAGAATGATAGGGCGCTAGACTTGAGCACAGTGACCAGGCTCTAAGTTCCAGGCCCACAACTGGCTGAAAAAAATATAAGTAAATATTCATCAAGATAAATATATTTTGAAATATCATTTTCCTTTTTTCTTTTTTTTAATCTTCCTTTTTTTTCTAAAAGAATAAATTTTAAAAATGGTTTGAACTTGGGGCTTGGCACTTGCAAGGATTTCTTACTCTTTTGCTGGTTAACTGGAGATGCTAGACTTTTCTTCCGTGGCTTGGCTTCAAACTGTAATCCTCCAGATCTTGGCCTCTTGAGTAGCTAGGATTACAAGTGTGAGCCATCTGCACTGACATTAACTAAAACATTAAAAAAAAATTTTTTTTTGTCGTTCATGGGGCTTGAACTCTGGGCCTGGATGCTGTCCCCAGGCTCTTCAGCTCAAGGCTAGCACCCTACCACTTGAGCCACAGTGCCACTTCTGGTTCCCTGGTGGTTTATTGGAGATAAGAGTCTCACAGACTTTCCTGCCCAGGCTGGCTTAGAACCATGATCCTCAGATCTCAGCCTCCTGAGTAGCTAGGATTATAGGTGTGAGCCACCGGTGCCTGGCTAACATTTTAATATTTTAAGATACTTTTTACATAAGGATTCACCAATGTCATATTTTTAGTCTTTGATGATATCTTGTCTTTGATGATATCTTGTGATGTTAAATATTTTACTCTTTTATGAATTGATAATGCCCTGATAATGCCCTTATTTGCCAAAATTTAAAAACTGGTGTCTTAAACATTCTCACCCTTCAATTTCTTAAAATTTCTTGAAAGAGAACAGGGGAAATTCTAGCTCCAGAGATGCTTGTCATGAGAAGATAGAAAAATGCTTTTGTGTATGTGTGTGTGTGTGTGTGTGTGTGTGTGTGTGTGTGTGTGTGTGTGTGTTGGGGCCTGAAGTCAGGGCCTGGGCACTATCCATGAGCTGTTTTGCTTAAGACTAGCAATCATCACTTGAGCCATAGCTCCACATCTACCTTTTTTTTCTTTCTTTAAGTGGTTGATTGGAGATAAGAGTCACCCTGGCTTTGAACTTCAATCTCAGATCTCAGCCACCAGAGTAGCGAAGATTATAGGTGTGAATCAATGGTGCCCAATTCACAGTGCTTTTTTATTTTTAGGTATACAATACCCTCTTGGGTGAGCTGCAAAGATTTACCCATTTTCTAGCACTCAGGTTTCGAAAACTTGCATTTGGTTTGTCCTACTGTATCCATCCTAGCAAGGAGGAGGCTGGCTGACTTGTTCAAGGATGCACTGCTGAGAGGTGGCAGGCTTCCAAATTCCTCATTCAATCCTTAGCCATCCCCTGCATTTCTGGGTGACAGCTCTGTGTCCAGCCTCCTGAACTGTGCATCTCTAGTCTGTGTTCTGAGGTCCAAGGATTGTGGCTGACAACAGGGGAGATATAAACAATAGAATCTTTTGCATGTGGTCTAGAACTCTTTCCCTTATTATCATTATTTTAATTTTTATATTGGTCCTGAGACTTGAACTCAGGGCCTGGGCACTGTTCCTGAGGGTTATTTTTTTGTTTTTCTTTTTGTTCAAAGTTAGTGCTCTACCACTCAGGCCACGGCTCTGCTTCTGACTTTTGGATGGTTAACTGGAGATAATAGTTTCATGGATTTTCCTGCCTAGGCTGGTTTTGAACCATGATCCTCAGATTTTAGCCTCCTGATTATAAGCATGAGATACTAGGGTCTGGCATCAAAATCTTCCTAGAGCCGGGCGCTGGTGGCTCACGCCTGTAATCCTAGCTACTCAGGAGGCTGAGATCTGAGGATCGCGGTTCAAAGCCAGCCCGGGCAGGAAAGACCGTGAGACTCCTATCTCCCATAAACCACCAGAAAACCGGAAGTGGCGCTGTAGCTCAAGTGGTAGAGCGCTCGCCTTGAGCTGAAGAGCTGAGGGACAGTGCCCAGGCCCAGAGTTCAAGCCCCCCAACCGACAAAAAAAAAAAAAAATCTTCCTAGAAATAATACCTCAAGGTATTGTCTCAAAATGGCCCCTAAGAGGGATGGGCAGGGTTTAGAATCCCATTTGATGGAGAAAAAACCCTGAGGCCCAGGATGGGCAGGCACCTTGTCCAAGGCCACGCAGTAAAAACTCTCTTAGATGCTGAGGCCTCCATGTCTCAGGCACCCGCAGAAGAAACCAGTATATAAAAGAAAAGTTTGAAAGTATTTACCATTCTTGTGTTTGTACCTATGTTCTCCAGCTTTCCACGAAGTGGGAGGTTATGAAGGCTTCATGGATAAGTACATGAAAGCCATCCCTACCTTGATTACCGATGGAAATCTTACCGTCAGAAAAGAATGCTACACCCCAAGGGAGGACTCCTTCCATATCTTCCGCGATCCCCTCAAGGGAGACATCCCTTGGCCAGGACTCATCTTCGGACTAGCCATCCTTGCCTTATGGTACTGGTGCACAGATCAGGTACTGAAGTAGGTCAGGCATGGTGGACAGGCCCTCCCATGGTTTGTGGGGTTAAGAAAGATGGGAGAGAGAGCCAGGCACTGGTGGCTCATGCCTGTAATCCTAGTGACTCAGGAGGCTGAGATCTGAGGATCCAGGTTCAAAGCCAGCTTGGGTGGGAAAATCCTCTGAGATGTTTGTTTCCAATTAACCACCAGAAAACCAGAAGGGACAGTACTCAGGGCCTGAGTTCAAGTCCCATGACTGAAAAAAAACTAAAAAAAGGAGAGAAGAGGATTCATGCTCTGTGGGTCACTGAGCACATGGTAGTCGTGGGACTTAGGATGGGGAATCTGGGCTAATGGGGTGGGGATGAGGCCGGACCTCTTCCTCACTGGACTTCCTGGGGCAGGTTATTGTGCAGCGGTGTCTCTCAGCCAAGAACATGTCCCATGTGAAGGCCGGCTGCATCCTGTGCGGCTACCTAAAGCTGCTGCCCATGTTCCTCATGGTGATGCCAGGAATGATCAGCCGCATCCTCTACACAGGTGATTCCTTCAACTGAATGCACAGCCTAAAGCCCTCTAACGTCTGTGCCCCCACTCTTCCCATCTCTTCTTTTCTTGCCACAGTTACTAAGCATTATTGTAGTTTCTGGAGACATCGAGCCAGTTGAGGGCATGGAGCTTTTGGAGCTGTCTTCCCTAGTTCGTCTTTGTTTTCCCCTCCTAACTCTATCTCTGTTCTTTTTTCTTCCCTCTCCTTCTCTCTCCTCCCTTCTCTTCCCTTCTCCTCTGTCCCTTTCCTCCCCTCTTCTTTATTTTGTGTGTGTGTGTGTGTTACTGGGGTTTGAACTCAGGGTCTCACACTCTTACTTGGCTTTTTTTTTTTTTTGCTGAAAGATGATACACTACCCCACTTGAGCCATCCCTCCACTTCTGGCTTTTTCCTCGTTAAAGTTTGTAGTTAAAAGACTCATGGACTTTTCTGTCTGTGCTGGCTTTGAACTGGAGTTCTAAGATCTCAGCCTCCTAAGTGGCTAGAATTACAGGTATGAGCCATCAGAGCCTAGCAGTTCCTTGGTTTCTTATGTGGGCAACTGTTTTCTCTTTTTTCTCCATCTCTCTCTTTCCTTCCTCCTTTTCTTCCTCTCTCTTTCCCTCCCTGCCCTTTCTCCCTCCTTTCCCCTCTTCCTCTTTGCCTCTGCCTCTGTCTGTCTCTCTGGCCAAACTTTCTAAAGTCATGGTGCTCCTCCAGGTTGCTCAACTCTAGCTCCTCCCTCCTCCTACTGCAAGGTTCTAGTGGTGTCTAGAATGTTCTTTATAGTTGTAATGTCAAAGGCCCTTTCAGTCTCTACTGGCCTTTGGCTCTGAACCCTGGTTTCCTGTAATATCTTTTTCAAGTTTAAAGATGCCCTGAGCCTTGTGGCTTGCTATCTGGAACAATCCAGTCTTCCATGGTCCTTAGTGACATTTCCAGAGTGGCCATTTGCATGATGATGAGTTGGAATGATTTCCCAAAATGTGAAATGATGGTAATGAAATGAGAGCATCCCTGAGTAGCTGCCCTTCCACGAGAAGTCAGGACAGCCCAGAGGCCCTGGCCCTGTCTTCATTTTTTGGCTCTCCTGCTCTTCTTCTGGCTTTTCAGTTATAAAAAAATATAGTCACGTTATAGTATCCTGGACTTTCATATTCATAGATTCAACCAATTGCACTTTGGCAACTATGCAAAAAGATTTGTATATCTACTGAATATGTATATACTTTTGTTGTTGCTATTGTTGTTGTTTTGTTTTAGTGCCAGTCCCAAGCCTTGAACTTAGGATCCAGGTGCTGTCCTGGACTTTTTTGCTCAAGGCTAGCATTCTATCACTTGAGCCACAGCTCCACTTCTGGCTCTCTTTTACTGGTTAATTGGAGTAAGAGTCTCCTGGTCTTTCATGCCTGTGCTGGCTTTGAACTGAAGTCCTCAGAGCTCAGCCTCCTGAGTAGCTAGGATTGTGGGCATGAGCTACCAGTGCCTGGCTTGGACTTTTTTTCTTTTTCTTTTTTTGCTTGTCATCTTTCCCTAAACAATATAATAACAATTTACATAGCATTTTATATCTTATTGAGTATTGTAAGTAATTAGTAATTATAAATGATAATTAGGCATTTTAAGGAACAAGATGATTTAAAGTATACAGGAACATGTGCATAGGCTATATACAAGACACAGTGCTGTTATATAAGGGATGTGAGAATCTGAAAACATTGGTTTGCACCTGGAGGGGTATCTTGGAATCTATCTTCCAGGGACACTGAACAGTGACTGTCTAGTTCACTCAATAATACTTATTAATAAAATAGAATGAGTGTGAATCAGTGCTAAATGAGATGTACTTGTAGGAAACACTTGACAAATACTTATTGATCTTAATTTGATACATGTTTCTAGAATTTTCTTCTCTCTCTCACATACATACACAGCATCAAAATTAGAAGTCACAAAAATCACTGTCATTTTCAGGAGAAATGAAGAGAATGATAACTGTTGAGTTACAGACAGTTAGCTAAGGTTGAAGAATTGTACCTCCTCCCCTCTTACCCTGAGATTTCTTTGTTTTCTTTCCCTCCTCTGCACTGGATATGTTCTTCCTTTTGAACTGGAGACTGGTGATGGATGAAGACCATGAGGGCAGAGGCATGGTATGGAAGGGCTCAGCTTGGAGACAGATTCACTGTGTATATCATTATAAGGGCCTTGCGCAGGAATGCCTTGTTTGAAACCTTGTGTTATGAAAGCAAACGCTGGAATTCTTTTCCCAATGTCGGCTTACTGACATGACACATTTCCTCTGTCTCTCTATCTCTCTCCAGATAAGATTGCCTGTGTCCTCCCCTCCGAATGTGAGAAACACTGTGGTACTAAAGTTGGCTGCACCAACATTGCCTACCCAACCTTGGTGGTGGAACTGATGCCTAATGGTGAGTGTCTCTTGGAAGGCTGGAAGAAGGCTGATTTGATTTAGGCCCCACCTAGAGTCCTCTCTCCCCCTCTCTCTCCTCCCTGTTTATATCAGTACTGGGGCTTGAACTTTTGCTTAGCTTTTTTTTTTTTTTGTTGTTGTTCAAGGCTCTACCACTTGAGTCATAGCTCCACTTCTGGCTTTTTGATTCACTGGAGATAAAGAATCTCATAGACTGTCCTGTTGGGCTGGCTTGGATAGCAATCCTCAGATCCCAACCTCCTGAACAGCCAGGATTACTAGCTTCTAAGCATCAAATGGACAGCCTGGCACTGGTGGCTTACACTTGTAATCCATCCTACTCAGGAGGATGAGATCTGAGCACCACAATTGGAAGCCAGCCTGGGCAGGAAAACCTATGAGACTCTGATTTCCAATTAAATACCCAAAAAGCTGGAAGTAGAGCTGGAGTTAGGAATCTCTTGAGTTTGTCTGCCTGGATTGGCTTCAAACCTTGATCCTCAGATCTCAGCCTCCTGAGTAGCTAGGATTATAGGCACGAACTATCTACCCTCACTTGAAGCAAAACCACTTCTAAGCAAAGAGTGTTCGTTGGAGAGCCTTATTCCAGTGGTTTTGAGGTTTTGTCTATGTTGAGTATAGTCAATAGCAGTAGACTGTATGTACTTGAAAATGGCTAAGAGACTGAGGTGGGAGGATTTAGAGTTCAAGGCCAGCTTGAGCTAAATGGCAGGATACTTTCTAAAAAAAGATAAACATGTGAGGTAACAAATATATGAATTTAGCTCAGTTTAGCCATTGTGTACATATTTCAACACATTCTAATAAATATATGGAATTTTAATTTGTCAATTAATAATAACTAAAGCTCTCAAACAGTAGATAGTAATATAAAGCTTGAACTAAACATCTTATATCCAAGTGAAGCTTACCTGTAGAATGAATTGACTTCCAGGCTCTTCCAAAGAAATACATGGAAAAACTGGCTTTGGTAGCTCATGCCTATAATCCTAGCTACTCAGGAGGCTGAGATCAAGGCCAGCCTAGACAAAATAAAGTTTGTAAGATTGCGTCTCAGTTGATGAAAAGAAAAGCTGGGTGCAATAGTGTATTTAAGAGGAAGTCACATCTCAGGCTGGCTTGGAGGAGAAAGTAAACTCTTATTTGAAATATAACAGAAGCAAGAAGGGATGGGGCTATAGCTCAAGTGGTAAAGCACCTGCCTTGAAAGTGCAAGGCCCAGAGTTCAAACACAGTAACTACCACTACACCACATACACACAGACACACATACACACAGACACACACACACACATACACACACACACATACACACACAAACACACAAAAATACTATGAGGAAAAGGTACAATTTTCAGTTCTAGAAGAAAGAAGTTTGAAGTTGCAGGTGAATAGAATTTCTTACCACAAAGAAGATGTTGTCATCAGTGATAGATTTGTTAGGTCTGAATCTGCCATAGCCACAGTTTTGGGGTTGATCTATGGAGGTTACACTTCAAGTTTTACACTGAAGAAAAACAACTCTTATTTTGGATTTAAAGGCTATAAATCCAGTTAGGTTAAGGAGGTCTCAGAAGATAAAAAATTCATAAATATTAACCGTGTACACTTAGAATAATCTTGAAACTATCACTTTAAAGAAATATACAGGCTGTCTGGTCAAGTCTTTTATTTTACAATTGGGGAAACTGAGGCTTATGGGGAGAAAGTGATTTTTCTAAAACCAAGCCATTTGGCTTGCTTCACTTTGCTAAGGCTGGCACTTAGGAATTTGAGGTGAGGACAAGGGATCCTGTGTGTGTGTGTGTGTGTGTGTGTGTGTGTGTGTATTAAACTCAGGGCCTGGGCACTGCCCCTGAGATTTTTGCTCCAGGCTAGTGCTCTACAACTTGAACCTCAAAACCACTTCTGGCCTTTTGGTGGATAATTGAGATAAGAGTCTCACAGACTTTGCTGTCCATGGTTGCCTCCAAACTGGATCCCCTGATCTCAGCCTCTTGAGTAGCTAGGATTACAGGCGTGAGCTGCAGGTGCCCAGCTGGGATCCTTGTTTTTGTTTTTAAAATCACATGTATAACCTTGAGCAAACCATTTGTATTTAGATGATATAAAAATGTGAGTGATAATTAACTACTCTACTAGGTTGGGCTGCTCATTAATTAAGGGTGCAATTAGAAAGAGTCACAATGGCTTTCTGAGAGGTATGGCTTAGGTCATACCTCTGGTCTCTGTAGGGGTGCTTATGCTATGCCTTGAAATTCACTTCCCACATGGTGCAGGGGGTAGATCTGTGTACCCCAGAAAGATGTAAGGTGCAGAACACCAGGAAGCTACATTACCATTATCATCCTCTCAGAATCTTGGGCTATGAGAGCTGGCGTTTATTTTTATTTTTGGTTCAGGTCTTGGTGTTTAAACTCATGGCCTGGCTCTATCCCTGAGCTCTTTTTTTTCTCTCAAGACTAGTACTTCATTACTTGAGCTGCAGCTCCACTTCCAGATTTTTGGTGGTTAATTAGAGATAAGTATCTCATGGGCTTTCCTGCTTGGCATTGAACTATTATCTCAGCCTCCTGAGGAGCTAGGATTACAGGTGTGAACCACCAGCACCTGGCAATACCTATTTTTTAAAAAATGAATAAATAAAACAAATTAGATAGGTGTGGTGGCTCATGGCTATAATCCTAGCTACTCAGGAAATGGAGATCAGCAGGATCATAGTTCCTGGCCATCCTGAACAAAAAGTTTTTGAGACCACCATGACACATGTATGTTGTACGAGCTACATGGGAAGTATAAACAGGGGACCATGATTCTGGTTAGCCTGGATATAATGTGAGGATCTATCTCAAAAATAGCCAGAGAAGTTGTGTGTGTTGACTCAGGCCTATAATCCTAGCTAACTTGGGAGTCTCAGCAACAGAATTCCTGCCTAGCAAGCATGAAGACCTGAGTTCAAAACTCAGTATTATATATTTTTTTTCATCACTAGTATGGAAACCAAGTTCAGGAAAATGCTTTAGCACTAAATTGTATTTTCAATCTCTCCTAAGTATCTTTTTTCTTTTTGGGGTACTGAGAATTAAACCTAGATCCTTGAACATTTTAGGCAAATGTGATACCAGTTGAGCCCTATCCTCTATCCTCTTGCTTTTACATTTATTTGTTTATTTTCAGATAGGGCTTCCTAATAACATTGCATAGTCTGGCCTGTAGCCATAATCCTTTCCCTCTGTTTCCTGAGTGGCAAGGATTACAGGTGTGTGCCACCACATCGGACACTAAGTATCTCTTGTACCCATCTTCCTTTCTCTGATATCTTAATTTAATTAATTAATGTTTTACCAGTCCTAGGGCTTGAACTCAAGGCCTGAGCACTGTCCCTGAGCTTATTTTTTGTTCAATTGCTTGAGCCACAATTCCACTTCTGCTTTTTTTTTTTTGTTGTTGTTAGTCGTGAGGCTTGAATTCTGGGCCTGGGCGCTGTCCCTCAGCTCTTCAGCTCAAAGCAAGCACTCTACCACTTGATCCTCAGTGCCACTTCCAGTTTTCTGGTGTTTTATTGGAGATAAGAGTCTCACAGACTTTTCCTGCCTGGGCTAGCTTTGAACCGTGATTCTCAGATCTCAGCCTCTTGAGTAGCTAGATTACAGGCGTGAGCCACTGATACCTGGCATCTCTTCTCTGTTTTAAACTTTTTTTTAAAACCCTAGTCTGATATATTATTTCTTGCCTGGGTTGCTATAAAATTATATTCAACAAATGTTTGTTGATGAATAAATGAAAGCGTGTGGAAAAGGTAGGAGACTTACATACTAGCTTAGCAATTCACAAGGACCTGGTAGAGCTTGTGCTGAAGATCTTACCTATTAACTCCTTGAAATGTACCTTTGTTCTGTCAACTGAAAAGTGAGAGCATTGGACTAGATGATCTTTATGACTCCCTCTATAGCTCCAATCATCTGTGGTTTACGTTATTTGCAAACACTTCCCAGCAGATGACAAAGATAATCAGAAGAGGAGGCCTTTACAATTTATCTCATAAAGCTTTAGATGAAACCATAAAATTATTTACAGATATAAAGTCTAAAGAAAGACAGAATCATACCACCACCTCGATCAACTCTGGAAAAATTTTCATCATCCCATAAAGAATCTTGTACCTGAAATCTTCTACCTGAGGTTAGGCTGTGGTGGTTCACATCTGTAATCCTAGCTACTTGAGAGGCAGAGATGAGGGTGAAGGTGGGGAGGATTAAGATTTGAGGCTAACCCAGGCACTCTCCCACCTCAAAAAATAGCAAGACTCCATTTTAACAAATAAACCCAGGATAACCCCTATAATAATAATCCCAGCTACATAGACGGTATGGTTATAAGGATTGAAGTCTGAGGCCAGATCAGACAAAAAACCATGAGACATTATCTGAAAAATAAAGCAAAAAAGGGCTGGGGGTAGCAAATACAAGGCCCTAAAAAGAAGAACTCCTATGCAGTCACTAATAATGCATTTTCTATAGATTTGCCTGTGCTGCACACTGGCAGAGAAAACCAATCATGCCTATAATCATGGTAACAATATGTGGTTCTTTATAATTGGCTTCTTCACTTCATATTGTTTTCAAGGTTCATTCATGTTGTAGCATTGATTTGCACGCCATCCCTTTTTATGAATGCATGAACAGTGATGATTCCATTCCATTTTATGACCATCCATATGGAAAGCTATTCATTCATAAAAAGATGTCCAATTGATAAACAACTGTTGCCCAGTGTATATTTCTTCTTTATGTTTATTTCTTTTTTTTGGATAGCATAAAAAAATCTAACTAGTTTAAAATAGTAGTTATTATGGCATTGATCTGAAGTCTCTTGATGCAAAGTTTTTTTTCTTTCATATTATTGGCCATTTATTTTTATTTTATTTTATTATTTATTTATTTATTTATTTTTTGGGTCTGGTCATGGAGCCTGAACTCTTGGCCTGGGCTCTGTCCCTCAGCTCTTCAGCTCAAGGCTAGCACTCTACCACTTGAGCCACAGTGCCACTTCCGGCTTTTTTTCTTTTTGCTTATGTGATGCTGAGGAATCGAACCCAGGGCCTCATGCATGCAAGGCAAGCGCTCTACCACTGAGCCACCTTCCAAGCCCTTTATTAATTATTATTATTATTATTGTTATTGTGAAAATACTGTACAGAGGGGTTACAATTACATGGGCAAGATAATGAGTACATTTCTTTCATATATATATATATATATTTATTTCCGGTCGTGGGGCCTGAACTCTGGGCCTGGGCACTGTCCCTCAGCTCTTCAGCTCAAGGCTAGCGCTCTACCACTTGAGCCACAGCGCCACTTCCGGCTTTTTTCTTTTTTCTTATCTGGTGCTGAGAAATCGAACCCAGGGCCTCATGCATGCAAGGCAGGCGCTCTACCACTGAGCCACCTTCCCAGCCCCAATGAGTACATTTCTTATCAAGCATTGTAGCCTCCTCCTTTGTTTCCCCTTCCCATTCCTTCCCATCCTTCCCCCCCCACCCAATCTTCCCCGCCCCGCCCCCCTGCACCAAAGTTGTAAAGTTTGTTTTCGACCTAACGACTTGTACATCTCATTGTTGCAATGGGATTATTGGCCATTTATATACCTTTGGTGAAGTATCCATTTGGGTCTTGTGCCACTTCAAATGAGTTATTTGTTTTTATTTTGAGTTGTAGGTGTTCTTCATATGATATGTGAATAAGATATATATCAAGAATCAGCCAGTTATATGACTTGCATATTTTTCTCCATTTCTATGACTACTTTTTTGAACTTTATTGAGAACTTTCTCTTTGTAATCCCAGTCTTTCAGCTAGATCATAAATCTTTTAGGTGAGAGCCTTGAGAGTCTTTTCAACCTGGAAAAAATTAGGTCAAGTAAGCAAGTCAGGCTCAGAGAGCAAAGGGTACATGTTTTCTCGCATCAGTGCAAGTTAGATCTAAATTATAAACATCTAGGAAAACATGTACAGAGTCATATGAATATATGCACGGCCATGTTAACTGAAGTGTGGTATATGCAGGGAAGGATTGAAGTAGTGAAGCTTCTTTGAACAAAATTTAACAAAGTGAACACCAAATTCCAGCTGCATCAAGTTGGCGTTGGGGAGAGGAAGTCAAGGGGATGGGGCAGGGGTCAGACAAATGGGGAGAGGAAAGGTTTTCAAAATGCAGTCATAGTATTCAATGCACAGATGTGAAAATGGAACGAGGTAAATTGGGGGGAATGGGTGGGACTGGGTAGGAGAAAAATGAATGAGGTGAATTGGTGAAGATGCTTTGTGCTCACAAACTGAATTGAAACCCCTTTGTGCAACTACTTAAAGATAATAAAAAGTCTCTTCAAACAGACACACATCACCATCACTATCATAATCATCGTTAGTATTCAATTACAAAAGAATCGTGTTTTGTCTCTAGCTCTTTTTTAACCTGTATCTTATAATATAAATACTTTCTTATGAAGTAAGTATTCATAGTACACTTTATATCCACAGTTTATTTCTTCACATCTCTATCCTCTCGGGAAGGATAAGTTGGAGAACATAGCAGGATTTTGGAAGGCAAACAAAACTTGAGTCCTCCTTTTTGGAAGTTAGATCTAAAATGCACTGGGATATGACAAATTATATAGGATTCTTGATACACGCAGTGAGACCAAAAGAGGATACTCCCAGGAAAGAAACACAAAGGTGCAATGCCTAAGTACCTCTTCATATTTATATGAAATAATATTCACACTGAAATAAACTCCAAGATATGGAAACAAAAGACTACTTATTTTGTCACTTTTTGATGATTCTCTCTTCTTTTTCTTATGCATGTTGTATTCATGTGTACATCTTCAGAAGGGTTTGGAGGAGGGCACAGAACTGGAGGGAAAAAGGGTGAAAAAGCATAGCAGTGGAGCTCTCTGGACACTGATGGATATGAACTATACAACTCATAAGTGGAGATGGGAAGGAGGGACTGGGAAAGAATGAGAGAACAGATGACAGTGTAAGATAGGAAATGGACTCATTACCTGACTGGTGCAATTGTAATCCTTCTGTACATCATCTCTCTAAAACCAATAAAGTAAATTAACTTAAAAAAAAGCCGAGGTTCTAGAGGCACCGCTGAGAACCTACTTCTTTTCCAGGGCTGCGAGGGCTGATGCTGTCTGTCATGATGGCCTCTCTCATGAGCTCCCTGACCTCCATCTTCAACAGTGCCAGCACCCTCTTCACCATGGACATCTACACCAAGATCCGGAAGAAAGCATCCGAGAAAGAGCTCATGATTGCGGGAAGGTAAGCGCAGCTTCTTCTTGCCATGAACCATCAGATATGTCATAAGAGCTTGTTAGATTATCTCCAGGAATTATTAGGACCTGAAGTAAAACTCAGCTGTAGTTCACTTAGAAATTCTCCTTGAGGACCAAGAATGAGAAGACAATAATAGTTTTTTTTTCTGTTGTTGTTGTTGGTCGTGGGCCTTGAACTGTGGGCCTGGGTGCTGTCCCTTAGCTCCTCAGCTCAAGGCTAGAGCTCAGCTTTTCAATTTTCTAAGATAGGGTCTTGTGACATTGCTCAGGTTGGCTTCAAACTCACAATCCTTCTACCTCAGCCTCCTAAGCACTGGGATGACAGAAGTATACCACTGGTGTTGTGGTTTTTGTCATGGTTGTTGTTGATAGTCTATTGTGCTGTTTTGATTTCAGGTTGTTCATTCTCTTGCTGATTGCCATTAGCATTGCCTGGGTTCCGATCGTGCAGTCAGCTCAAAGTGGACAGCTCTTTGATTATATCCAGTCCATCACCAGTTACTTGGGACCCCCCATTGCGGCCGTCTTCCTGCTTGCTATTTTCTGCAAGAGAGTCAATGAGCCAGTAGGTACCATTCTCATATGTCCAGAAAGGTCAGTCTACCACAGAAATTCCTCTGGAGGTTTGCATACTCTCTGGGGGAGGATTCTCTCTCCTAGAGACCTTTTTTTATTCTTTTATTTTGGTGCCAGCATTGAGGCTAACCCTTAGCTTTCTTTCTTTCTTTCTTTCTTTTTTTTTGGTGCCAGCATTGAGGCTAACCCTTAGCTTTCTGCAGAAGGTTGGTATTCTACCACTTGAACCACAGCTCCATTTCTGGTTTATTGTTGGTTAATGGAAGGTAAGAGTCTGATGAACTTTCCTGTCTTGGCTGGCTTTGAATATTGATCCTTAGATCTCAGCCTCTTGAGTAGCTAGGATTACAGGTGTGAGCCACTGGCACTTGGCTTTCCTAGCTATCATAAGCATACATAAATGTGTGTCTAAAACTTTGCAGGAGAAATCATTGAGGAACAGTGGGGGTGCTCCAAGTTGGAGTGAACCCCCGCCCAGAGTTAGTAATGGATTTATTTTCTCTCTGATGCTCCTGTTGTATTAGCTATTATACATTTTCTATCCAGTTTTGGTGATTCTGGCCTGAGTCCAAACTTCCTGATGGCTCAGTGGTGAACTTGGCTTTGCTAGCCAGCACTTCTCCAGGTCTAGTGAAAGACACAGTCCTTGTGCTTGAGCACTTTATCTGGGAAAGGAAGTAAGATAGAAAGCCAGGGAGTCATAACATGTGACACAAAATGTACGGAGGAATGGCTGTATGTCCAAACTGGCAGGGGAAGCTTCTGAGGGGCCATAGGACTGAAGAGAGATTTAAAGTTGGAGCAGAGAGAGAGAATTCAAGGCAGAGAGAACAGCCTAGCCCAAATGTGGAAATGGAGGAATAAAAATAAGGTGAGGGGCTTGTAAGGAATAATGCTACTTGACTTGAGAGGGAGTAGATGTGCATGAATAAGGAAGGACATATCTGGAAAGGCAGGTCAAGGTTAAAGGAAAGCCAGGTTGAAACATTTGGGTAAAAAAAGAGCACAGGTTTTTGTTTTTTTTCCTTCAAATGTGAAAATTAGATATAAATTTTACACATATAGGAACACATATATAGGGTCATACACGTATATACACAAACAAATTGACTAAAGTATGGTTTACAGGGGAGGATTGCAAGGATGTAACTCCTATAACCAATGAATACTCCTACAATGTGTGTTGTGTATGTTGCGGGGTGGGTCTAGAAGGAAGGCAGACAAATGGAGAGAGGAAGAGTAAGTGAATACAGTCATAATATTCATGATAACTTTTTTCCCTGTTGGTTGTGGGGCTTGAATTCAGGGCCTGGGCACTGTCCCTGAGCCTCTTTGTGCTCAAGGCTAGCACTCTACCACTTGAGCCACAGTGCCACTTCCAGTCATAATATTCAATATAGATATATGAAATGGAACCAGGGAACTTGAGGGGAGGGGAGGGAGGGGGTTGGAGAGATGAGGGAGAATGGTGAAAGGGCAACATTGATCAAGATGCTTTGTGTTCATACACAGACATGTTGGATTGAAGCCCTGTGTATGACGACTTAAGGATAATAAAACAAAAAAAGAAGAATTTGGGTCAACAGCAGGGTGTGGTTGCATGTTTCCAAAAGGGATATTTAGTAACATCCGGTAACACATTTGTTATATTTCTGATAATGCTATAAATGTCTAATGGGTAGGGGATGTGGCTGTACTGAGCATCCTAAAGAGCAAAGGATGACACTCCCAAAGAATTAGCCAGTCCAAATATAATGCTATGTAGGGGAACTCTGGGCTCCATTCTCCAGAGTACAGCAAGTAGATTGCAGGGAGAATCTTGGGACAGGTCAGGCACTGACCGAGTCTTAGGGAAAATGTCAAAGGCTTTCAGGTTTCTCTAGACCCTCTTCAGGATAAAGACTAAAGGAATAAAAAAAGGTTAATTTCCAAAACAGAAAGGATCCAGGTGCCAGTGGCTCATGCCTGTAATCCTAGCTACTTAGGAAGCTAAGATCTGAGGGTTGCAGTTCAAAGCCAGCCTGGGCAGGAAAGTCTATGATACTCTTATCTCCACTAAAACCACACACACACACACACACACACACACACACACACACACACACATATGTGCATGCACACATGCACATATACCCCTTCCTCCAAGCCTGAAATGGAGCTGTGGCTCAAGGGGTAGAGTGTTAGCCCTGAGCTAAAGAAGCTCAGGGACAGTGTACAGGCCGAGTTCAAAGCCCAGGATCAGCACAAAAACAAACACACAAATAAGAGAAAAAAAGAAAAAAGCCAGCAATGCTGGCTCTGGTTAGTAATCTTAGCTGCTTAGGAGGCTGAAATCTAAAGATGGCAGCTAGTGGTTCAAAGCCAGCCCGGGCAGGAAAGTCTGCGAGACTCTTAACTCCAATTAACCACCAGAAAACTGGAAATGGAGCTGTGGCTCAAGTAGTAGAGTGCTTGGCTTGAGCAGAAAAGCTCATGGGGGCTGGGAATGTGGCTTAGTGGTAGAGTGCTTGCCTAGCACTCATGAAACCCTGGATTTGATTCTTCAGTACCACATACACAGAAAAAGACAGAAATGATGCGGTGGCTTAAGTGGTAGAGTGCTAGCATTGAGCAAGAGAAGCTCAGAGACAGTGCCCAGCCCCAGAGTCCAAGCCCCAGGACTGGCAAAAAAAGAGAAAAGCTCATGGACAGCACCCAAGCTCTGAGTTCAAGGCCCACAATGGATTAAAAAAAGGAAATCCTTAACAAAGTTTATTGATACTATTCAAATCAAGTGAAATCAAGGTTTTATTGGAAGGAAATAACTATACAAGGTTGAATTCAAGAAGTTCTATTTTTCCTTATTACTTCAAAATGTTAGACTCTCTTTGTGTGTGTGTATCAGTTTGTGTATGTGCTGAGAGTAGGGTTTGAACTCAAGGCCTCTTGTTCTCAATGATATTTTGACTCTGCCATTTTGATTTGAGAATGGCCTGGAGCCTATTCCCCTCTTCTAATTCATTCCTTTGCCGCTGTCCTAAGGAATGTTAGAATGCCCAGCTGTTTGTGGATTGGGCATTAGTTCACGCAAGGGTTTCATTCACAGGGAGCCTTTTGGGGACTGATGCTTGGATTTCTGATTGGGATCGCCCGGATGATAACTGAGTTTGCCTATGGAACCGGGAGCTGCATGGAACCCAGCAACTGCCCCACGATTATCTGTGGGGTACACTACTTGTACTTTGCCATTCTCCTCTTTGTCATCTGCATCATCACTGTCTTGGTCATCTCCTTCCTCACCAAGCCCATTCCAGATGTGCATGTGAGTATCCACGTTGGAGACTTTTCCTGCTCATCTCTCACGTTCAGGCTGTGACACAGCTGGCTGGCTTTGGCTCCATGAGACCATCACACAGTTACATGTTCAACGAGGTGTCTTCTTGTCATTTGTTTCACATAAATGAGTGCAGGGCAGGAAACAGGGCATGCCAACCAGGCAGCATTAGGCATGTGGAAGTCTTCACAATCCAGGGCTCTAGCAAGGGGCTAGTCTTTGGATCCAGCACAGGCACACTGGAATGAGATCTCATTGGTAGACAAACTCTTCTGGCTCTGTGTGTGTGTGTGTGCGTAATACTGGGGTTTGAACTCGGGGACTTGAGCTTGTTAAGCAAGAACTCTACCACATGAGCTACACAGCAGTGTTTCTTGTGAATGTGCCATTGTCAAAGTTCCCACAGATCCTAGAAAGGGACCATGTTGTCAGGAACTGGTACCATACACCTGTAATCCTAGCTACTCAGGAGGCTGAGATATGAGGATTGTGGTTCAAAGCTAGCCCAGGCAGGAAAGTCCATGAGACTCTTGCCTTCAATTAACTATCAAAAAAGCTGGAAGTAGACCTGTGGCTCTTGTGGTAGAGCGAAAAACACCCCAAACCCCAAAACCATTCCAAAAGCTCAGGGACAGTGCCTAGGCTCTGAGTTCAAGCCCCAGGACTGGTGTGTGTGTGTGTGTGTGTGTGTGTGTGTGCACCCATGTGCTTACACACACACACACACACACACACACAAGATAGAGACTATGTCTACAACACTCACTATTCTCAGGGAAATCTGAAGTATGAAAACTTCCTACTCTTTCTCTTCCTCCTCTTTCTTCTCCTCCTCCTCCTCCTCTCTCTCCTCTACCTCCTCCCCAAGTTCTCCCTCCTCCCTCTCCCCTCTCCTCTTCATCTTCCTTCTCCTTCTTTTGTGCCAGTGCTGGGGCTAGAACCCAGGTCTTTTTTCACTCAAGGTTGGATTCTACAATGTGGGCGCCACAGCCCCACTTTGGACTTTTGGTGTTTAATTGGAAATAAGAGTCTCATGGACTTTACTGCCCCAGCTGACTTCAAACCATGATCCACAAATCTCATGCTCCTAAGTAGCTAGGATTGTAGGGGTGAGCCAATGGCACTTAGCTTTGACTTACTTTTTAACTCTTTTTTCCCCAGTTAAGCCACCAAACAGTGGCTTTACTGAATTCTGACATTTTCTTATGGTATGTATTGGACTATTATCTATTGCTATGAGAGACTACCACAGGCTGGATAAGTTATGAACAAAAATATTATTTGGCTCACTGAGCTGGAAGCTGGGAAGTCCAGTATTAAGAGGCTGTGCCTGGTATGGGGCTTTTTGCAGCATCGAGAGAGGGAAGGTGAGAGAGAGAGATAGAACTTACCAGAAAAGCTCTTCCATAATCATAGCATAATTGCACTGTTGAAGGCAGAACCTTCATGAAATAATTACTTCTTAGGGATCCCACTGTCAAAATGGCAGCCCATTTCAACAAGAGTTCATGAGGGGATATTGAAAGCATAGCACAATATCAGTTGAATTAGAATTTTGAGTATACTTCTTTCACTCTAGATAATCCAGTGGATTAGGCTTCTTTCATAGCCATACCAGTCCAAGTAAGCACATAGTCTGATAACCCAATATAGATGGCTTTTTGGTGTAAGTCTTGGAGCTTGAATTCAGGGCCTGGGCTCTGACCCTGAGCTTTTTTGTTCCAAGTTAGTGCTCCACCACTTGAACCATAGTGCTACTTCTGGGTTTTTAGGTGGGTAATTGGTGATAAAAGTCTTTTGGACTTTTCTGTCCTGGCCGCCTTTGAACCGCCGAGATCCTCAGATCTCAGGCTCCTGAGTAGTAAGGATTATAGACGTGAGCTACCAGAACTTGGCTCATCTCACCTTGCTTTTCTTTTCTTTTCCTTTTTTTCCTGTTCTTTTTAAAAAAATGATTTCCAAGGGAACAGAGCTAGCAAGTTAATCCAAAGTCATATTTATTTTTTTTGGGGGGGGGTTCGGTCATGGAGCCTGAACTCTGGGCCTGGGCGCTGTCCCTCAGCTCTTCAGCTCAAGGCTAGCACTCTACCACTTGAGCCACAGCACCACTTCCG